TTTGGTATCTGTAATAAAACTACTCTATTCATCATGAAAATATTCTTTGTATGTTTTTTTAGAAAGTGCTATTCATGTTGTCCTTTATGCTAACGACTTTGTAGCTCATTCTAAAATAATTACCACAGCTGAAAATGGCCTTTGCAAGGAATTGAAAAAAAGGAGGTGTTTGATCAGAATTTTATCTTGATCTGCAGAAGGGATGAAGTTGCTTTTGGGTACAACATTTTTGAGAAATTTTGTAGCAAAGTCATTCCATTTTAATCCCTTCACATTAAGTAGTAGAGTAGTATAAAACCATAAATTCATGGATAGTTTAAAAGCATCTCAGCAACAGTAATAACCAGTAATAATCTCCTCTTTTTCTGCCTCTTTTACCATTAAATTTAGGAAGTTCAAGGTCACAAAGTGACCCCATGGTTACATCTTCTTTCCATTCCTCTGCAAATATGTGACTAGCAAAATGGCTTAAAGGCACTAAATCAAAAAAGGAGAAGTAGATGGTTTGAATAACCCACACACAGGACAGCAAATACTAATGGCATTATTTTACTGCCCTGGCCTTACACATCCAATCTCCTCAGTGAAAAATATCTCCTGTCAAAATTGTATAGTGGAATGAAAGATTCAACCTAGGAAATTGATGCTACTATATATGAATTATCCACTTTCAAAAGAAGGCCCACACAGAGGATATTTTATCTGTTAGTGCTAAATTATAACTTCTGGCAATTTTGTGAACTCAACGCTCTCCTCCAGAACAGCAATCTTTGATTCCCATGTTACCAAGAAAAGTCTCTTGTCAAATTTCTACTGACTTGATGACATCTATCTATATGTAGGATTATAATGAAAACTGTCATTCTCTATAAAACAGGTTTGTAAATTAGTTAATAACAGCTGAAAAATGCACACTCTCTTTCCTTCCCGTAGCTCTCAGGCATGGTACTATTGCCTGGGGGATTACATTAGCGCCTCCAAATTATAAGATCAGAGACACGTTGATGCTAAAGACTTTTTTTCCTCCCTTCTTCTTTTTCTTTTTCTTCTTTCTTTTCTTTTCTTTTCTTTTTATGTTTTTGGCTTCTTAATATGAATTTTCTCTTATCCTTTTACCACACAGCAAGACAAAGCCTTGGAAAGACAGCCTTCAGATAGAATTACTCAATTTTTGCAACTGGAAGCACTGATGCCAAAGAACTGGAATTGTTTAGTGCAGAGGGATGAAAAGAAAACAGTCTGCTGAACCAAACAACGTAAGCAGC